ACCTGTACAGGGACAGGCAGGAGGTCCCCGACATGAAGATGGCCTCGTACTTCAGGAGGACGGAGCTGTTCATGGACGACATGAAACACGGGAACGTTTCACTGAAGATCCTGAATGTGTCGGAGGAAGACAACGGCAGATACAGATGTTTCATCCCCAAGCTGCGGAGCGGAGTCAAGTCTGCAATCGTTGAACTTATAGTCGGTCAGAAGATTTGTTCAATCCAAACTGAACTTTCAGACTTGGAATCATGCTTTGTGTATTATTTTAACTCATTTCCAAACTTTCAGTCTCATTTTATCAGCTTATTATAACTCTAGTGTTTATGGTCTTTTTAGATCCAAATTTTGCTAAAACCTCCACAACGGAGACGCCATTGCACTTCCAAACTCCAGATCCTCAGGACGCAACTCCAGCAAACGGTGAGAAGTCAAATTTTCTCTGTGTCACTTGTGTTTGGGTGACATTTTTTTGTCCATTTGTGGTAACCTTGTTTATTTCTCGTCTACGTCAGCAGGTCGATCCAGGGTCTCTGTGGTCGCCGTTGTCATCACCTTCATGTCGGTTCTGGTTGTCGTCGCTTTTTCTGCATGTTTCTCTCGCTGCCTTCATCAGAAATTAAATGTAAGTAAGAAACAAATAAAACACAAACATGTTGTTGCTTCCTGTTAGACTGACTCATTATTCAATTTTTTTCAACAGAAGCTTTCAGAAGGCAGAACGACCCAAAGCCAAGTATAACTATTCCAGGTGCCTTGCTAACGTTGGTGTTAATGGAGCCGAGACCATTTGAGATTTATCTTTTCTGGATCTTCACAGTCAAGTGGAAAATTTAAACCAGCAGCCACTGGGAGACACTCGGGCCAAGCAGCACTGAGGTCATCATAAAGGCAGTGGATTTTATTTATCGAGCTCATTTTCAAAGAAAAAGAACATTTAAGGATTTAAGGACTTCCTAGTCCCTATAATGCAAGACTGAAGAAAACCTCCTCTGCTCAACATGTAGAAGAATGAAGATCATATTTATTTTTATGGATTTGTATTAACTTGAAGACTTAAAATTCTAACTTATTAAAGTTTTACACCTTACTGGTTAAGGACAAAGTAATTCTTCCTAAAAGCTACTAGTGATGGACAAATTAAAAGAGGAAGTCCTCCCTGAAATCGATTTGCTGCTTTATTTAGAAAGTTTTATTGGACATTTCCAGCTCAGTGTGTTGGAAAAAGATTTTTCTATCAGTGTGGATCTTGGAGATGCAGAAGATTGTAAAACATCAACAGGATTTGATGTAACCATAAAGTTTGGACACCACATTCAGGACTTTTTGTTTCTTCATGTTTACCAAATCAGTTTAATGCAAGTCTGAATCAAAACAGGTCGGTTATCGTGACACTGATGTAGAGAAAGTGTTTACTTACAAAGGCTGTCCTGGATGACATCATGTAACTGATTTTCACATGAGACTTTATGTTTTTAAACTAATTTATCTAATTTAGCTTGAAATTAGCTGGTGGGCAGATCTCTACAACAGAGTCAATGCATTTCCTAAGCTGACACAAAATTTTTGTTGCCGTTATCAGTGATGATTTCGTTAACCAATAATTTTCGTCATGTACATTTGAACTACCTCTGGTAAACGACACGGCTAGCTCCCATTCTCCTTGTTTCTCATGGAAATGCAACAAAATATCAGCGCTTATAGAAGAGTAGAGCAGACATGTGGACACGTTGATGCCAAGGAAAAGCAGACGCTTTGTGAACCGTGTGGGGCAACTCTCACACAACCAGCATTTTATATGTTAGACAGTCAACTTTAGACTCAAAGATTTAGCTGCTTACTGGAAATGACTAAAACTACATCAAAATTTACTTTCAAAATTAACGATGACTGAGAGACTAATGCCTAGCTGTTATTTCATTCCTCTTTAACTGATGACCTCAGACAGATCCTTCACTGACTAATCTTATAACCACTCCCTGAACACCAAACACCTGCAGGCAGGGCACCAAGATGTTGTTTGTGCTGGTTGTTGTTTATTGCTGCTTTTATAGTTTATAGCGGTTATTTTGTATTAAGAGTCACAATGTAGCTCCATATACCTGCGCTCTGCATTATAAGCTCAAACATACCCAGCAAACATCCTGAGAGCCTCTCTCAGGTCAAAACTGACCATAGTACGATTGTTTCAGTCAACAAATTCAGTTTTTTTTAAACATGTCAGCCTGTCACAAGTATTGTCAATCAGTCAGTCAACCGAGTAGCATCAGAAACAGGCTCAGAAGTTTGTGTGTTCAATTCATGGTTTAGGCTTCATTGGACCAATTTTTGTATATTTTGTTTTGTTATAATTGATTAAGAAAGAGTAGAACACAATTTTAGGACACAAAATTTCTTATCGTTGAAAGCAACAACATCCAGGCCACGGATGTGCATTTTAGATCGAGGGCCACATACAGCCAACTTTGATCTTAAGGAACAGACTGGAACAGGTCAGAATGGAGTCTTTGTTGGGCCGATTCTGGACCCTGGGCCTTATGTTTCACTCCCTTGATCTAGGCGATGTTAAAGAGTAGATCAAAATGATGTCTGTAATGTCTACAACTTAGTTCAAATTTAAGTTTGGAACATTTTTTTCTAACCAGGATAAAACAAACAAACAAAAAACAAGTTATTCAACATCAAAATGTTTGCTGGGTAGGTGAATATTTACAAAAAGGCCTTTATGTGCCTTTGATTATTTTTGCTTATTTTAATTTGTGTTTTTCGTTCCCTGCTTTAGCACTTTATTAACTGCACCTTACATTTATTTCAGCTCATTTGTCGTTAAGGCTTGACTTTCATTTGCTTTTGTGTAGAAACTTTGTACAAATGTTCCAGTTCTAATTAAAAGTGTTGCACGCCTCATCAAACTGGTCATATTTCATTACCACTGTTGTCTTATGTGTTTCACAGACTGAAAGAGCCACTGCTGCTGCACTGAATTAAACTTGTGTGTCTTTGTGTTCTTTGTGCATCTGTTCTGTTGTGTACAGATGGATACTGGGACTGTTCACAGTTTTGAAGATTTTATATAAAGTTCATTCTCAGATGGATTTAAATAAAGTTATTTTTTATATGAATACAGTGACTGTGTGTGTGTGTACTCATATTCAATTCTCTGTGAATATCTATTTTAAAATCATTGGTCTCACACGTGCTTTTTTACACCATTTGAAGCAGAACCATCATCTGAAGCCTTGTTTTTTGGTATTTACATGTCCTGTACAGTTTCTCGCTCTGTGGCGAGCTAGTTTTCCTCGCTTTGCATGCAGTTTAAAGACAATCTGTGAGTCAGGACCCTCCCTGCTTGCCTCACAGCCTCTATGGTGAAAACACTCATATTACTAATAAGACTTACAGTAAAATATCATTGCTCACAAGAGTGACACAACTCCTGTTTTTTCCCATGCATTATAATTTTACTAAACTTGGATGAGAAATGTGCGAGGGAGGATTAATGCTTGGGCGAGACAGTCTGGGAAGAATAGTTTCTTGTTTCACCTGGGTTTTTATTCCACATGACTCATTATTTTAAGATCTTTAGCTGATAATGTTTAGCACCTTCAGGCGACTGTTGTTGTGATTTGGTGCTATATAAAAAACATTGAACTGAACTGAACTGAGAAAATAATGAACTCCGTGTTTTACACTCATCTCTCAGTCATAATGTGACTCATATATTAGTTCAAATGGAACAGTAAGAATTTAATTTCATAAATTCAAGCTCAAATTTAGCTTGGATCTAGCCTGGAACTGTGGTCGGCTTTCACAGAGTTTTATATGAGAATGTTCATCTTTCCATCCAGTTAAATCTTGTGGGGCGAAGCTTGTTTTGCAGGCCCTGAGCTACGAGGTGGCCATGACGGATATCAGGCGGCAGTTATCGTGACTACAGCTGGCCCTGAACATTCCTTTATACTGATGTATCTGAAGGTTTCTAATTATTCAATCAGTAAGAAACTGAAGATTCTTTTAATCCCAAATAAAAATCAAACCGAACTAAACACACGTTTTTAGAAACACGAGACTAATTAAAAGCCACTCGAGTTATAAAATGAGGAAGAGTCAGACTGTGACAGCTAAAAGATTTACGGCATGAACACTGTGATTGAAACCTCCCCATTCACAGCCTGGATGTTCACATGAGCAGTAAGGAGGGGCTGCATCGTTTATTCAGCAAGTAGGAGGCAGACCTGACTGCAGCTGCACAGAGGAAGAAGAAGATTTGCTTCTCTCAGCCACAGACTGTCTGAGCTTGCTCTCATCATGTGTGTCAACAAATCGCACTTTGAGGACTCTTTTTTCCCTTTTCCACTCTGGACTTTAATCCTGTGCTCGGCTTTCATCGTCAGGACTCCTGTTCAAGGTAAATAATGATCTTAATTAAACGTTGCACAACAAATAACTTTAAGAAAGATGTCATAACATAATAGCTGTTTGGGCCAGATTGCCAGATTCAGTAGAGCCACTAATTCTTACTGTGCGTCACTGAAGGTGATGACAGGTAACTTCTGCATTCATGATGAGCAAAGTTTTTCTGTCAAGTTTGGTACTTTTATGGAAGTTTAATGTCAATAAACTTCAAACAATCAAAGATTGAAAACCGATGATTATCTGAAAATGTGTTGTGTCTTTGTGCCCTGATATCTAAGGAATTTACAGCTATCTGTGATAGAGACCTTCTTTCCAACTTAATAGCAACATTTAAAACATACAAAAGTTATAAAAGCACAAAAGTAAGTAATTGTCTTTTTAGAAAGAAAGTTTAGCTTTAGAACATGTGCATTTATAAAGGACTCCAAGTATTGAATCTGAAGAAACCAAGAAAACTCCCTCACACATTCAAGCAGAGCTAAAAGCTTCAAAAAATACTGACTAAGATGAATGTGCACATGTCTCATCTCAGATGAATCTGTAGCTGCTCAGAGATACTCGTTCAGTTTGTTGGCTGGTCTCAGAGATATGTGTGACTTATTTTCTTCAATATTTCAGTGTCACATCATTTAGGCTCCACATGACTCAACAGTTTAAGTGTGAAGTTTATATTTCTCCCAGAGGCAGCAGCTGTCTTCAGTTTAAAATAAAAGTTGACGAGGCTGGAACCACAAACTACTTTTCTACACAGTCCTTTAACAGCTGACACTGTGTCTTCAGTCACAGTTGACAGCTGTTATTTAAAAGAGTTAAATGAATGAGTAACATCACAGAGTGTCTGTATTTACTGCACAGACTCCTATAATAACAGGTTATTTGCTGAGGTTAAAATCACACGTTAACGAAGGCAGTCCAGTCCAGTCTCGCTAATGTCAGGATGCTGACATGAGCTGTTCAGTGGTAAAAACAAAAAGGTGACCATGACACAGTTAAACATAATTCAGTAGAAATCTTTATGCTCTTTATGAGGCTGCACCTCCCTGAGCCTGGTTCTGTCAGAGAAATCTTCCTGTTAAAATAAAGTTCTTTTTTTTTATTACCAAGTGCTTTTTCCTCGAGGTTCTTTTGATTTCTCCGGATCACTGTAGAGTTTTCACTTTACACTATAAAGTGTCAGAGCCAACTGTTGTTAGCGTTTATATCGTCAGTGTGTAACTCTACAGGGGTCTGTGGAGTTCAAGACGTTTAATTTTCCATATTTCCAGGTGAGGTTCTGGTGATTGGTTCAAATCTTCCAATCATCGCCGCGCCAGGTGATGATGTCATCCTGCCGTGTCACCTGGAGCCCATGTTTGATGTCCAGGGTATGACGGTGGAGTGGTCCAAACCCGACCTGAAGCCCGACCCGTCGGACCGGCTGAGCCGAGTGGAGTACGTTCACCTGTACAGGGACAGGAAGGAGGTCCCCGACATGAAGATGGCCTCGTACTTCAGGAGGACGGAGCTGTTCATGGACGACATGAAACACGGGAACATTTCACTGAAGATCCTGAACGTGTCGGAGGAAGACAACGGCAGATACAGATGTTTCATCCCCAAGCTGCAGAGCAGAGTCAAACCTGCTGTTGTTGAACTTTTAGTCGGTGAGAAGATTTGTTTTGGTACGTTTTTGTTTTCAACTCATTTCCAAACCTTCATGTGAACAGATCATGACTATATTTTAGATCCAAAGTACGCTAAGACCTCTACGACAGAGAGTCCCGTGTATCCTAGAAACTTCCAAACTCCAGATCCTCGTGAGATGTCTCCAAGAAATAGTGAGATAACAACCCACATTTTCTCTGCATTGTTTTTGTTTGGGTGAGATGTTTTGTGTGGTGACCTTGTTCATTTTTTTCTTTTTTATATATCAGCAGGTCGGTCCAGGGTCTTTCTGGTTGTCGTAGTTGCTGCCTTTGTGTCGGTTGTGGCTGTGACTGCATATTTCTCTCGCCGTCAAATAAAATGTATATCAGAAACAAACAAACACAAACATGTTGTTGCTTCTTCTGCCATTAGACTGACTTATTATTCAACTTCTTTCAACAGAAGCATCAAGGCGACGAAGTGACCCAAACCAACCATAACAATTCCAGGAGTTCAAAGGAGGGTTGGTGTTAATGGACCTGAGAGCGTTGGAGATTTACCTTTTCTGGCTCTGCTGGATCCTGATAGTCAGGTTGGAGGTTCAAACCAGCAGCCACAGGAAGACACTTGGCCCAGCAGCACTGAGACCCATCATAAGGTCACTTCTATAAACGGAATCTGATTTAAACTTCGACCTCAGGTGAAGACTCAAGTGTTGTATCAGAAAAAACACAGCATGGGAAATCTGGATATCTAAACAGTAAATCTATGAAACAAGCCACATGTAGGTTATTCTTTAAATTGGATTCAGATCCAGTGAAGTAGCCAGTCTAAAACCAATGGTTAAATTCTTTTCCATTCCTTGTCAGCAACATTATTTCGATCTAACCCTAATGATTGTTTAAAAACCAACATGTACACTGAGCTAATGCCAAGCAGGGGTGAAAATGCCCCAAACTGCAGTTCATCTACTCAAGTCAGCCCTCACAGACTGTCATGTTAAAAGCCAGCAGAAATCCACGTCTTCATAGCCAGCTACAAAAACAGTTTCAATTTCTATGGATGTGTTCATCCTCTATAATTGTACACTAGTTGAATATTTCTTGCAACTTTTAACTTTTGAGTTCAAAGGCTCAAAGGAGGAGAGGAGCAGAGATGTCCAAGCTTCGCCTCTTTGTAGTTGTGGTGTGGTTTGTGGCTCAGCTGCAGGGGAGGGGTGGAGCAGTGGGTTCAGGGTGTGGTGATCTGGATGAGAGACTAGAGGCTAGTTTGAATGTGACTCTATCATGTCGTTGCAGTTTTGTTCTTTTGTCCATCTCTTTCACCCTCTTTGTACTTTCTTTTTTCACTTGTAGCTCTCTGTCAAACACTGGAGGACTGCTTGGACTTCATTAGAGACCTGAAGTTCAGTCTGGAGATCAACACTTAGCAGGATAAGGAGCATTATTTATTACTGTCAGGTTTAATGTTCTCATTTATTTAAATTGTACATCTTGCTGGTCAAGGTCACCTTGAATCTTTCAGTGAGGCTTCTGAATGACCTCCAGTGGACAAATTTAATCTAGGACCTGGCGTCCACATATGTGGACATCACATTTTGGGTTATTTTGAACAAAATACTCAATTTTTCTTTACAAGGGCCTGATATTCACTTACGAGGACATTATACTGCTACTGTTCTATTGAAATTTTAAATAAATATACTCGTGTGTGGCTCTCATTTTTCTTAGAAACAAAAATCAGGTAAAGAAAAAATCTGGTAAGTCTTTGTTTTTACATTCATCGGGTCCCAATCAGCCCAAATATCAAAGAGAAATTAAAAATGCATGCTGTGGAAGAGTTCGGGTCTTAGGAGGTTAAGTGGGAAAGTCCTTCATGGTTTTCACTGTGTTGAACTGAAATGAACATGCTGGTTTATTGGTCACAGTTTATTGGATATTTCCAACCCACAGCCTTGGAAAGACATTTTCAGTGGGAACAGTTCAGTCACACATCATGTGGAAGGACTGAAGTAGAAACTGAGTCGAAAAACATGTTGGAGACATTGAAGACTGGAAGGACACCAAAGACCTCTGAAGTACCAAAAACACAATTTATGGAGACTCTATTAATAGATTATACATTGGAATTAAAATTTTAATTAAAAATAGCTCAGTGATCATGGATCTAAATCAAACTTGGTCTCACTACTCCTTTTATTCATGGTTACCCTCAGACCCACCCTTTAGGGTGTGAACGGCCATGAACTGAAACTTGAAACTGCAGATATTCATTTGACGTTCTGGATCCGCCAACATGTAGACAGTGCAGCTCCATATTTATGCTGTTTGTTGTTTGTGCTGTTTATTTCTGCTGCCTTCTGTGAAACTTAGGCAAAAAAAAAAAAAGTATTATATTATTATTTAATTGTTGCCACGTTTGTGCTGTTTAATTTATTTCAAAGAATGTTCCTGTTTAATCTCAGAGCTGACTCTTTCTGCTGTTGTTCCAAATTAAAGTTGTTTGTGTTCTTTGTATTTCTGTTCTGTTGTGTATCTTTCATACATGACATTGATAATGCCCACAACCCTAAAAGGCTAGAAAAATGCAGCATGATGAGACTGAGGAACCAAACATTTATCCAGCAAAAACAAGAGCACTCAGAGTGATAAACTGTGCTGTGAGGACCTCTCCACTCCCATCAATATCACCTGAATCAGCAGTGCTTAAACACCGATACTCCACGGGCACCCAAAGAGAGGGGCCCATAGCAACTGCACAAGCTGAGGGACAAGCAGACCTGAAACCCAAGAGGGACACCAGACTTGTGTGCCACAGCACACCCCCGTTGGCACATGACAATCATGGTGTTCACCTGAGCACCAGAGAGCCAGGCAAAGGGACAGGGGAGTGGACTCAAAGGCAGGACCCCAGGACTGTACCACACAGGTCCGCACAAAGCAAGGAGGAGATCAAGGCTAAGGGAAGGGAAAGAGAAGATAAGGAAAAAAAAAAGAGCATCACAGAGCCAAGTCAGAAAGTCTGAAAGGACCAGCAGCCTCCACTCCTCCCATGTCCTCCCCAGAGTCAAGAGACAACATGTCTGTGTTGTTTCTGTTTTCTTTCATTACAAAACCTCAATTAGTCAGTTTGACAGACATAACATAATATTTTTGTACAAACAAGGTGAGTCTCAAAGGGACTATTAGCCTAAAACTTGACATGTGTACGTGGGTTGTGCAGTTTATGCCTAAAAAGGAAACACTCCACACCCAGCCGAGTTGGAAGAAACTGGCCAAGTGGAGGATGAAAGAAGTAGTGACAGGCCTAAAAAATATCTACAGCAGACTGAGCTGAAATAGGACCTGAGACGCAACTGTCTGTTGATCCAGCTACTGTTTCCTGAAGCCCTCATCAGATATGGTCTCAGTGGAAAGGTGGCTGTCAAGAAGCCATTAGGTAGGGAAACAGGCTGAAGCATGACAAACTACACAAGAACTGGACAAAAACAGATTCAATACATCTTGTGGAGTGATGACACCAAACTTGAAATGTTTGGTTTAAATCATTGTCAATATGCATGGAGTGTCTGCAGTTATCTGTGAAACACGGTGGAGGCTCTGCCATGGTTTGAAACTGCATTTCAGCCGGTGGTGTTGGAGACAGAGAAGTACCATCAGATTTGGATCCACAATGTTAGACCACCTGGAAATCATCTGACTGGTGCTGACAATTGACTATTAGTCATGGATTGGCCTCCCCCAAGGAAAATATCCTTCAAAAAGCCCGGAGAACAATTCGTGAAACTACTTAAAGGAAATAAAAGTGGCCCAAATTTCTTACTTTCCTCCAAAATATAAAAAAATGAAGGGTGACTCAGAACTTTTGAACAGTACTGTAGCAACTGCTTCCATGTGGAGTCGATTCTGCTTCCTTGCTTGCAGCAAATGTCTCTTCCCACAGGCCTCTGTAGAAAAACCTTGTATGATTACTAAGAATTACAGCTTATATCTGCTATAAACTATCATTACCCAGAGAGTGGTGCTTTTCCCATACAACCTGATTCTGCAGTGTGTATTCATTAAAGACTGTGTTTAGTGTGAGACACAACCTGTGATGTTTTCATGGGTTGCTATAAATACAAAACTTTCTGTCACAGTGGATCAAATTTAATCTCTGACCCTGTTCTTTAGGGCTTTAGAAACTGACTCCATGTTTCATTTAGTTTGACCTTAAATGAGACTGAGCCCATAAACGTACCAGGACAACATTTACAAAGCTCACTTCATGCTTCGTTACAGCTGACAGTGTTGGAGGCGTGATGATTCATCCACCTCACAGCTATTGAGTTCAACATCAACTTCTCTGTACACCAAAATATTATATTAAAGCTTGGCTGAAACTGGATCATCAGAGAAAGTGATCCCAAGCACAGCAGCAAATCTACACCACTGAAAGTGAAAAGAACCAAAGTGCAGCAATGAGCCGGTCAGTCCAAACCTCAGCCTGACTCAAATACTGTTGTGGGACCTTCAGAGAGCTGTGCATGAACAAATACTTGCATGTCAGGATGTAAAGATGACCCATAAAGTCATACCAAAACTATTACATCAAGTTAATCCTACTATGGGTGGTACTGAATAAGAGTCTGTGCTCAGTTTTTTGCAGGACTGCTTCTGTAGTTTGACTTATTTTCTATTAAATAAACAACAACAAGGCATAATATGTGCTTTTGTTTATTTGAGGTTTTATATAAAAAAAAACAATTAAGAGCTTTTTTATTTTTTGTATGTCCTGTTATGTAACCCTCAGAATGGACAGCGTATGTACTCTCTGTTCAGTGGGTGTATTTAGTCAGACATAAATACCGTCACAGCTCGACTGTGGAGGCAGAATAAGGGAGTAACTTAGAAACTTTATTTACAAAAACAGAAATCATTTACAAAACCAAGAGAAACAACACAAAAACAAACACATAGTGCCTGGATGGCCCATAAATGTGGCTTTAAACAGGAGGCAATGACACACATTAGAGAAAACAGATGAAAACATGTGTGGCACACTGTACCATTAAACAGTAAAGGAACTTTACTCCACACTGACTCATTTAAAAACACACACTGGTGTCTTTGGGATCATCTGATTGTGTTGGCATCAAGAAATCAACAATCACGACCCTCTAACCATCCATCAGCTTTGACAGAGATACAGTCGACGCCCAAAGAAGAACCACAAAACCAAATGCACAAGAGGAAGGTCACATCAACAGGAAGCTCCACATTTTATATTTCTGAACATCTTTGTATGTCCTCTGGCTCTTTGCTGTGCTGTAAACACAACCTGCTTTATCCTGGAGTCATAGCAGCAGCTATGTAGCTCCCTCTAGTGGGAACACACAATGTAATGTGTTAACCTGGAAGTTCACTGCTGATGTGATTTGATGCTGCATTAAGAAAAGTGAAATGAATTGTCAGCAGATAATCAAAAACAAAAAAGTAACTGAAAGTGAAACGCAATTAAAAACATCATGAGTTTGGACTTTTCTATCATCTGATCGTCTCTGTGGGTCATTGCATCTGTAAACACCAGAGCTGGAAAAGTTTGAATGACTTCTGATAGAACTTTTCAGGGATTCAGAGTGGGGTCATGTTTGATGGTTTACTGATGGAAAACTAACAAAAAAGAGTTAAACTTTATGATTCTTACAAGTGTGGTGTGTATGTGTGTATCGTTAATGTCACATATGATGTCACATTTGACCTCTGACCTCACTTTTACATTTCACATCTATCTTTCTTTTACGTTGACCCAAAAATGTGTTAAATCTTTAAAGTATTGTCCGGGGAATGAATGAGTTACTTATAAATAAATGTTAGTTATAAATATAATGCAGTACAATATTACATAATAAGTTCAAGTCATTAATGTCCATTTATTTACACATACTTATTATCCTACTCCAGTGTAATGTTATATAAAAATACACTATTCTTGCTTAAAAGTAAGCACTGCACAGTCAATGAGCTGCCTGAGGTTTGTGCTCTCAGAGAGCTTCTTGTTCTTTAGTTTTCACTGCTGGTTAAGGCTGACTGTGCCGTACTCTGAGTCTCTGTTTCCTGGTTTTCCTCGCCCTCTTTGATCACCTCACTCATGTCAACAGCAGATGTGTCGTCTTCCAGCTGTTCTGATGGCGGCTCTTCTTTTATTTCTTTGGTCTCAGTGTCGTCACCACGAGCTCTGCTGCCTTTTTGTTTCATTGTTTTCAGCTCAGTTTCATTCACCTTGGTGTCTAAACACAGAAAGGAAAAGTGTCATACATATACATGTGTTTGTGTTTGAATACAGCTTTCCTATTGAAATTTTTATGTGACCATAAAATACCTGTAACTGTGTGGGAACATTAAAATAATAGTACGCATTAGTCAGAGCAATTATCATGCGTTTGTTGATTTATATTCCTGTTCAACCCCACTGACACTCCCTCTGATCCCTCCTGCTGGTTAAGATCCTGTAATGTTACATTCATCCCTAAACCACAGTGTAAAAATACTGAGCAATCATCAACTGTAAACTGAGCAGTGTGAGAATAAAATATTCATTCAGGTAAGATAATGCTGAAATGATCCCTTGTTAATTTCCAAAGTCCAGAGCAGCATTACTGTCCATGAACGAACATATTCAGACTCCTATAAAGGGAAACAAAGCTGACACTGTGCTCAATTTAGTCTCAGAAATTCAGCCTTTCATACTCCAGAAAACATAGAGAAGGGAAACAAACGTGTGACGCACCAGGTTTTTTTGATAGGATGAAATTCCAAACGAAAGCGATAACAGCACCAACGTACAGCAGGCCAATGATCACGATGATGAAAGTGGCCGATGGTTCCTTCCTGACAGCAGAGCCTTAAAACATAAAGAAATAGAAGAATATTCCTGTAAAACTAGCTCTGATTTGGTTCAAACTGCACATGATGAGGGTGAAATAATAAAATAGTTTGTTTCTGAATGTGAGTCATACCTGGAACATGTATGTGTGTCTCTCTGCTCTGGTTGGTGTTCCTCTGTTGGACTCTGCAGGTGATGTTGTTGCTGTGTCTCTTCTCCACAATCACTCTGCTGCTGACAGTATAGAGGTCATCAGGACCTCTGAGGGTCTCTGTAGGTCCAGCAGAGAGGAGGTTTCCCTCACCGTCCAACCACAGCAGCTCAGGCTCTGGATACCAGCCTGCAGACTCACACTGTAACACCACCCTGCTGCTTACATTTGACATCACCTTTATGACGGGTGTAGAGACTGACCCTGAGGAAGGGAGACGAGAGAAACCACTGAGCCATTGCATGCAGGGTAATTGGATAGACCTTTTTCAAAGCTTTTTCTTTCATTTCACCTCTTTCTTCACAGTAAAAAAATAGTTTGATGTCTCTAGATGCTTCTATAATTAGTAAAATACATTTTTTAAAATAAAAATATTACCATTGTTACCTTGTGTTACGCCTCCAGCAGAATTGGTCTTTTGGGGTTCATATGCAAAAAAAGCCAGTTTTTGTCTCACACATTGAAACTTCTCCACTCCGTAGAGCTTTATAAGACGGGTCCTGGATGATATGATGAAGAGCAAGATGTTCATGACTGAGATTCTAAAAAGTGCCAAACAACTGCTCACAGGTCTGTTCACTCGTCTGAGGCTGAAGAGATATGCCAGAGAAGCAGAGGCCTGGAGAGTAAATAGGCTGCTCTCCAAATATTAGTCCAAGGTGTACTCTCAGCTTCAAGAGAAGACTAGAACAAGGCCTGCAAGAACATCTGGGAGAAGGGCACATCACACAACACTAACAGCAAGTGGGTGGTGGACCTAAGAGTAGACCACAGAGAGTCAGTCAACATCAGAAATGCAGACAACTAACAATGAGTCTCCAGAATGAAGAGCTGGACAGCATCAGGACCTGACATGTTTTATACATACTATTTCATAACAGTCATAAGATACTCAGCTGCAGTAACAAAATCATCACATGAGAAGATGTGACTGATGTAAAGACAGATACAGATTATTATGCGTGCAGGATTCCACCCAAAGTCCAGCATCCTGATGCTCTATGAGCAACAGAGAAATGGTGAGAATTCATGTGGCAGAACCACAATCCAGGATTAAACACAAACAATCCATGAATACATCAGGAAAAAGCCCCCCTGAGATCAGCTGCTTCAAGACTCCATCAGCCAGCTGAAGAGGACAATGAGGAGGAACAGGACAGAAACTGTCATGGACGACCAAACACCTGCATGGGATGTACCATCGACCGATTGAGGAAATGGCTGGTATCAAGAAATCCTACCAGTGGTTGGAAAAGACCACCTTACAGGACTGTACAGAGGCTCTGATCATGGCAGCACAAGAAGAGGCACTAAGCATCAGATCCATAGAGCTAAGACTCTACCACAGCCAACAGGACCAGAGCTACAGGCTGCCCCAAGGTGTCCCAGAGACTATCTGACACATAGCAACATGAGGTAAGGTACAAGCACAAGTACAAGGTACAGGAATGAGCACAACCAGGTGTCTGAGATAGTGTACAGGAACATCAGAGGTTTACCTCTGCAGAAGAGAAGTGTTAGAAGCACCAAAACAGCAGTGACAGCTGACGGTCTCCAGAAGATCTCCTGAAGAGACATCCTTCGCTTCTTATCTGAAAGTCAAAACAAAAGGCTTTTACTCTCTTCAGCTCTCAGTGAAGCATGCTAACAGTCTGATATTGTGAAACTGATTCGGTAATATGGTTATTTCTAGAAAAAAAAACTTCCCTTTTACATCCATTCTAAATTTGTTTTCTATTTTTTAATGAGTGATGTTCAGTCTTTATAAAAAACAAAACAAAATAAAGGTAATTCAAAAGATAATCATTACTGCATTTAATGAAAAGATATGATCAAAATTATTCATCAGAGATTTGGGAAATTGTTTTGTCAGTTCAAATAAAATGATTGAAGTAAACACAACAACATGTGCCTGAACTTTCTCTAAGTGAGCGCTCAAACACATTTTAAAGTTGTTTGTTTCTGAAATGTCACTCCTGGGTGAGGTTAGGAATGTTGACCGACCAGTAAACCAACAGCTTACAGTTTTCTCTCAGGCCACATCTCTGCAGACGCTGCACCAGTCTGTCGATCCACTCTCACTGCACTGCTATAAATAGAACGTTGAGATACTTGAACTTGTCCACTTAGGTGTTAATTTTCATTCCTCTCTCTCAACACTGAACTGCAATCTGCCGCAGAACGGAGGCTGAAGATCTTCACTTGAAAAGCCAACAAAAGCGCATCAGCCACAGAAATGAAAAAGCTCGGCTGTGTGCAGAAACTGTCTGTAAAGATTATAATCAGAACTGTGACATGTTTCCAGCAACAGAAAGGTTTCAGATCCTTGCTTAGACATCAAAACTGGGCCTGAAACCCCACAGTCTCAGAGGTTACATGATGCACAAACCCTGTTTTATTTTTGATTCAATATGAACTTATCTTCATATGAATATAAGTTCAAAATAAAGTTCAACATGGACTGATGAGAACATATTTTATGTCTTTCTTTAGTCATCGAAATATGACTAAAATATGTCATATATGTTTGGTCGTCCCTCCCTCAGCCTGCTTCTACAACAGGTCTTCTTCTTCTCCCTGTCACCAAGTGCTTGCTCATAGTGGAGCGCCGGGGTTTCTCTGTATTATTGTCTTTACCTCACAATATAAAGTGTGTTGAGGTGACTGCTTAAATTAATTAATAAAATCTAATCTGAATCTAATTAAATTAGACACACATCTTTCATGCTTTTATTCTTTGCCATAGAACACATTAACATCTGTCTTTCACCACTTGCCCTAATACTTCTGTTTCATCACAGACCTCCACCCAGAGAGTGAAAGGCAGACATCAGCCTGTTATGGCGTCACTGGGACGTTGTAGGGCATCAAATTAAAAAAATAAAAAGTGTGTCGTATGGCTCTCTCCACGCCTTTTCATATGATATATTACTCAAGATGGTTTCTTGAAATAATTTTCCAAGGTTAACTTTGACTTTGGGTGCAAGAACAATAAAGGTCAAGGTTTAAATGTTTAGCCAGCCTAGCTACTCATGACCCAGAAGGCCTAGTTTATTGTGGCAAAGTTTGAAGACGATGCATCTTGAAACCTGTGAACGGTGGAATATCAAACAGACAGAGCTGATTAATCTCACATTAATAATGATAATAAAAAACAAACAAATGTAAAAGAGTCTGTGCTCATATTGCACGTGAGCACAGAGGGACACCGGTTTGCATCTTGTATCAGTAAGCCTACATATGGAAACATTTAATGTCCACTTAGGTGTTACCACAATATCACACTGACACAACGTGAAGCGAGACCACAGAGTGTAAGTGTAACTTTAACAAATGTAAATGTAAGATGTGCATAGTTAGAGTTACTTTTAATTTAATGACGACCTCATGAGCTCGGATCAAGGATCGTGGCTCGTGTTAACAATGATGTCACAGTCCGACACAGGCAAGTGTGTACTCTGTATAATGTGATTTCTTTGCATGATTTTAGGTCAAATAAACAAACCTGATCCACCTTCAATCAGTGGAAACAATTTGAACCAAGACGAGCAAAAATAACAACGTAAGCGTGGGAATCTGACTCCACCCCAGGACGCTCTGTAAAGCAACAGGGTGGTTTTATAGGGTGGGTTTGTGTGTTATTCAGAGCGCTAATAAAAGAAAAATATCTGGAAAAAGAAACAGTTCTGTGTTTTGTGTCTTTTTGACAAATTACTTCTAGTAAAAATCAAAGTAATGTGGACAGAAAGTCTGACTTTATAAGAGAAAATTTGTTGTTAAGACCATAATTCATCTTTAAATATCGTTTTTAGAACATGTTTGTTTATGATGCTGCTAATGCTGAAACATGTCCGCTGTGTTCACCTGTTCATCGGTCTGCTAAAGCTGGACGTGCACCATCACACTCACCAGGAACTCTACAGCGAAACAGAGACACACGCCTACACAGACACACAGATACATTATTATATATTTAAAAAGGCTTACCGCAGTGGTGCAGACTGTAACTCCTGTTGTCCTGAGTTTTACAGTAAATCGGTCGTTATAAAGTCGTTATGAGAGTTTGCTGGAGCTCAGCAGAGATAAAAAACCAGCAGAAAGGCAGCACGTCATCGTCTTTGGGCTCTGCTGTGGTCAAACTGGATGCTCTGGTAAGTTGGCATCAGATTCTGAATGAAACAAGTTTTTACTTGTCTTAACTGCACAGTCTGGCTTCAGATTACACAAACTGTGAAGCGTTATTAACAGAGACTGCTGCAGGTCACAAATCTCACAGATGACACACTTACTGATCAGTGTGTTTTGTGTCTGATAATAAAACCATTAAATCCAGTGATCGCCGTCTCTGTCTTACACTGTGAGTCTGTTACCTGTGAGAGTGACCCAGCGAGCGTCACACTCTGATCGCCTTCGCTGTAATCACACCAGAGTTTCAGATCCAGCTGAACATTCTGCTGAACTGAAAGTAAAACTGCAAAACTAAAGCCCTGTACACATGGACAAATTACACACCGCGTATTTTAATATTGCATGCAAATACTGTACATCTTGTAATTGGTGTGTGTGTGTGTGTGTGTGTGTGTGTGTGTGTGTGTGTGTGTGTGTGTGTGTGTGTGTGTGTGTGTGTGTGTGTATTGTATATACAAATACATCTACACACATAGTTTACACTTTGGATTAGATGCTAAACTTCATTTCATTATGTTGTACACTTTTCAAAGACACTACATGAATCTAATCAAATCCAGGCTGTTGCTCTTCACTCTGAGAAAGGTTGTAAGGTCACTTCCAAACAATCTGAAGTCCTTCTGCGGTGGAAAGTGGAAGCTTGCTGCCGACCCCTCACACCTCAGTTATAAGCTGTGACACTGGTTTGTGCACAAACTTAAATAAATCTGATTCTGAACTTCATCAGTTGTGCAGCACAAAGCACAACATGAAACTGGATGGTCGATAAACATGGATGTAAACTGAAGGCAATGACACACATGAGGAAAATAACACACTAGAAAAGCTGAAAGCACGTCCGTCTGTTGAGTCGCAACAATCATTAACTTCCTAACATCCTCCAGATAATGCGGAGGTAGCTGACAGACTCAAAGAAACAAACGCATAAGGAAGGTCACATGACTCATTTTACATTTCTGAACTTCCTCTTTAAAAGTGACCCACAGGCTGACGTGCACTCTGCTTTATCACAACAGTCAGATCTGTGGTTCCCTCCAGTGGGTAAAGCCTTTACCACACGATGCAGTGTGTGAGTCTGGAAGTGCTGCGAAACAAACTGCAGGGTTTTTAGTTTTTTCTGTGACGTCACTGCAGTTCCCTCATAGATGAAAACTCCTGAACACATCACAAGTTTGATGTTTTCCGTGATGTGATGATGAAGTGACGATGAGCACAGAAACAGAGTGTCAAACATGTTTGGAGTCTTCTGTGTCTCACGTCATGCACGTTATGGCGTCAGCTCCTCGAAACATTGGATGCAGCATGAGAGCTAAAGTTCTGTTTTTAAGACAAACGGTCGTCAAATTTGAGCTTTTTTCTTTGAACCACTTATTCTGTACTTCTGTTTCTTCTGTTTCTTTTCCTTCTCGCCTTCTTTGATCTCCTCAGCAGCAGATGTGTCGTCTTCCAGCTGTTCTGATGGCGGGACTGCTTTTATTGCTATGATCTCAGTGTTGTCAGCAGGAGCTCTGGTGCATTTTTGTTTTGTTGTTTTCTTCTCAGTTTCAATCTCTTTGGGGTCTGCACACAGAAATGACAAAATAAGGAGGATTCTTCCTATTAAAAGGGAGTTTTTCCTCCCCACTGTCACCAAAGCATTTGCTCATAGGGGTCATATGACTGTTGTGTTTTTCTCTATGTATTATTGTAGGGTCTACTTTACAATATAAAGCACCTTGAGGTGACTGTTGTTGTGATTTGGTGCTGTATAAATACAATTGAATTGAATGTGTTTGGTTGTTATCAAAGACTTATATAGAGTGGAACAAAGGTGACGCTCTGCTTAGTTATTTCAGCTGAGTATCATAAATCCGCAGTGTCAAAAAACATTGTCTGATTATTAATGAGACGGGAAACAAACGTGTGACGCACCAGGTTTTTTTGATGGTATGAAATTCCACACGACAGTGACAATGGTACAAATCCACAGCAGGCCAACGATCACGATGATGAAAGTGGCCGATGGTTCCTTCCTGACAGCAGAGCCTTAAAAGATAAAGAAATACAAGTTATTTTTGTAAAACTAGCTCTGATTTGGTTCAAACTGCACATGATGAGGGTGAAATAATGAAATAGTTTGTGAATGTGAGTCATTATTACCTGGAACATGTATGTGTGTCTCTCTGCTCTGGTTGGTGTTCCTCTGTTGGACTCTGCAGGTGATGTTGTTGCTGTGTCTCTTCTCCACAGTCACTCTGCTGCTGACAGTATAGAGGTCATCAGGACCTCTGAGGGTCTCTGTAGGTCCAGCAGAGAGGAGGTTTCCCTCACCGTCCAACCACAGCAGCTCAGGCTCTGGATACCAGCCTGCAGACTCACACTGTAACACCAACCTGCTGCTGACATTTGACATCACCTTCATGATGGGTGTAGATGCTGACCCTGATGAAGGGAGACGAGAGAAATCACAGTAATCTGCTGCACACATGTTACAAGAGAACATTTGGATATCTACTAACTGTGTGTGAGATTATCAATATCGTAACTTTGAATTATTTATTTACACTGGAAAAGACAAATAATGTCACATATTCCAGAAAAATTTTAAAAGATTCTTTTGTGCTAATAAACTTTGACAGTAGGAATTAGTCATAATAAAGTTAAATAAAATAATCTTACCAACAATAAGATGAACATATGACCTTTGACCCAGCTGTGGAATGAAACATCTGTACGGTCCTTGATCAGACAGCTGTACTTTGGAGAGAGTCAGTGAGACGTCTCCATGCTTCAGTTTATCAAAGGACAGGGAGGTTCTTCCAGCGTACGACGGCTCTTTCAACTCCACATTTTCTTTATTTTTGTCCCACATGTAGATAAATCCTGGTGTCAGGTCAGTTCTTGCCCACTCCAGCTGCAGCTGTGATACATCCACGGGAGTTTTCAGGAAACAGGGTAAATCAACATCATCACCCAGCAGAGCCACTATTTGCTTTGTTGGAGCTTCCTGAGAATAACCTGCAAAGAAACACATCAGATTTGATTTACTTCTGTGGGATTCAGATGAAAGGCTGATTGTGTTTTTTATTGTGTAAAGAGTCTCTGTGTACATGACCAGGGCTCGACTCTTTCATAATCTGAAGATGAACATGTTTTTTCAGCCTGTAGTGGTGTTTTATGCCTCTAAACTTACCTCTGCAGAAGAGAAGAGTTAGAGACACGGCAGCATTAATGAAGGATGAGAGTCGATGTGTAAAAAGTCCAGAAATCTGATAAAGAGCCATGATTCACCTCTGAAAATTAACAAAAACAAATGCTCTTTATCTCTGTCTTACAGGAAGCAACAGCACAATCTTCTGAAACAAGAAAAAAATACCTCAAAGAAACACTTTTAGAGACACTGGAAATAATTTCTTCTTTGTTCAAAGACTTTCTGTACAGATTTCCTCTCTGGTGCTCTTCTTCACCTGCTTCCTGTTCCCACAGCAGCAGAGAAAGCTGCGGGTGTGTGTGAAGATCAGACTGAGCTCCTGAAGAGCATTGCTCATTACTGTGAAAATTAAAAAGAAAAGCAAGCTTCCTGTTACTATTTTCTCTGTCAAAGAAACCAAGACAATAATGTGTTTTGTAACGTAGCTTTTTCTAAACCCTTTAAAATATCAGAAAGTACAGGTGACAGCTCCTACACCTCTACGTGTACTTCTGGGTTTTCATGGCTGCTTGGATTTGAGGATCGGCTTATTTACACTCATTTGGTTAAATGAGATCGTTCAGATTTTTGTAAGTTTTGATGCTTTTCAGATTTTCTTTTGTCTGTTTGGGTCTAACAGAGCAATACTGAGCAACAACTGTCTCTCACTGCAGTTTTCTAGTAACTCCTCAGAAGGAGAGTCGACAACTCTTCAACAAAGTCTAACAATGTGGACACACACAAAATGGTACAGACTAATCCAATTCTACAAAATGGTGCGAAATTCAAAACCTGGTAAAAACTGGAGTCTCTTTCCCAACACTCACTGACTTCACCCGTAGTCTTCATACAGACTCTAGTGGTGGGTGTTTACTCACTCAAGCTAAGTGGCATTAGACAACAGTGGAAATTCATGAATGTGATCTTGAGCGAAATGCTCAAACCACTTTCTGTCACACTGAAACTGATTCTCTGATAAAACAAGAAGGAACAGCCGATTATTATTAATGTTGGTCTGTGGCAGGGATGTGACGATACAGAAAATAAGAAATCCTACCTCGAACAAATGTTTTTCAAAGCACTGGAATAGCAGCCTCTGTGTCTCCTGCTTCTTCTAAGTATTGTTGTTGGACTTTGAACAATTATAGGTTTTGCTGCTCAAGCCTGGATTGACTCATACATTTGTACAAAGGTTCCTGAATCATTAATCATTACAAAGTTATGAACTCAGAGATTTGTTCTCTTTTTATATCATTGTATTTAACACACATGCATAGCCACACACACAGAAAGTTGTGTTTTCATATTTTTGTGGGGACATCAAATTGACATAATGCTTTCCCTAGCTGCTTACTATAACCATAACCCTGACACTAAAACCCTCAGCAGCAGATGTGTCGTCTTCCAGCTGTTCTGATGGCGGCACTGCTTTTATTGCTATGATCTCAGTGTTGTCAGCAGGAGCTCTGGTGCATTTTTGTTTTGTTGTTTTCTTCTCAGTTTCAGTCTCTTTGGGGTCTGCACACAGAAATGACAAAATAAGGAGGATTCTTCCTTTTAAAAGGGAGTTTTTCCTTCCCACTGTCGCCAAAGTGCTTGCTCATAGGGGGTCATATGACTGTTGGGTTTTTCTCTGTATGTATTATTGTAGGGTCTACCTTACAATATAAAGCACCTTGAGGCGACTGTTGTTGTGATTTGGTGCTGTATAAATAAAATTGAATTGAATGTTTGGTTGCTATCAAAGACTTTTATAGAGTGGACCAAAGGTGACACTCTCCTTAGTTATTTCAGCTGAGTATCATAAATCCGCAGTGTCAAAAAACATTGTCTGATTATTAATGAGAGGGGAAACAAACGTGTGACGCACCAGGTTTTTTTGATGATGAAATTCCAAACGAAAGCGATAACAACTACAAATCCACAGCAGGCCAACTATCACGATGATGAAAGTGGCCGATGGTTCCTTCCTGACAGCAGAGCCTTAAAACATAAAGAAATAGAAGAATATTTGTAAAACTAGCTCTGATTTGGTTCAAACTGCACATGATGAGGGTGAAATAATAAAATAGTTTGTTTCTGAATGTGAGTCATTTTACCTGGAACATGTATGTGTGTCTCTCTGCTCTGGTTGGTGTTCCTCTGTTGGACTCTGCAGGTGATGTTGTTGCTGTGTCTCTTCTCCACAGTCACTCTGCTGCTGACAGTATAGAGGTCATCAGGACCTCTGAGGGTCTCTGTAGGTCCAGCAGAGAGGAGGTTTCCCTCACCGTCCAACCACAGCAGCTCAGGCTCTGGATACCAGCCTGCAGACTCACACTGTAACACCACCCTGCTGCTGACATTTGACATCACCTTCATGACGGGTGTAGATGCTGACCCTGATGAAGGGAGACGAGAGAAATCACAGTAATCTGCTGCACACATGTTACAAGAGAACATTTGGATATCTACTAACTGTGTGTGAGATTATCAATATCGTTACTTTGAATTATTTATTTACACTGGAAAAGACAAATAATGTCACATATTCCAGAAAAATTTTAAAAGATTCTTTTGTGCTAATAAACTTTGACAGTAGGAATTAGTCATAATAAAGTTAAATAAAATAATCTTACCAACAATAAGATGAACATATGACCTTTGACCCAGCTGTGGAATGAAACATCTGTACGGTCCTTGATCAGACAGCTGTACTTTGAAGAGAGTCAGTGAGACGTCTCCATGCTTCAGTTTATCAAAGGACAGTGAGGTTCTTCCAGCGTACGACGGCTCTTTCAACTCCACATTTTCTTTCTTTTTCTCCCACATGTAGATAAATCCTGATGTCAGGTCAGTTCTTGCCCACTCCAGCTGCAGCTGTGATACATCCACGGGAGTTTTCAGGAAACAGGGTAAAACAACATCATCACCCAGCAGAGCCACTATTTGCTTTGTTGGAGCTTCCTGAGAATAACCTGCAAAGAAACACATCAGATTTGATTTACTGCTGTAGGATTCATATGAAAGGCTGATTGTGTTTTTTATTGTTTAAAGAGTCTCTGTGTACATGACCAGGGCTCGACTCTTTCATTATCTGAAGATAAACATGTTTTTTCAGCCTGTAATTGTGTTTTATGCCTCGAAACTTACCTCTGCAGAAGAGAAGAGTTAGAGACACGGCAGCATTAATGAAGGATGAGAGTCGATGTGTAAAAAGTCCAGAAATCTGATAAAGAGCCATGATTCACCTCTGAAAATGAACAAAAACAAATGCTCTTTATCTCTGTCTACAGGAAGCAACAGCACAATCCTTTGAAACATTAAACATTACAGTCTTAAATATGAAAGCTCAAATTAGAAAAAAAATACCTGAAGGAAACACTTTTAGAGACACTGGAAAGAATTTCTTCTTTGTTCAAAGACTTTCTGTACAGATTTCCTCTCTGGTGCTCTTCTTCAACTATTATGAAAGCTCATATAATTTAGAAAAAAAAATACAAAAAAAAAAGAAAATATACCTGATAGGGGTAAACACTGTCTGTTCTGTTTTTTTTTCAGATGGACACTGACATCTAAGAATTTCTTCTCTGTTCAAAAGAACTTTTCTGTACATTGAATTTTCCTTCTCCTTTGTAGTGTTCTTCTTCTCACCTCCGCTTTACTTTTAACCATGTATCCCACCAGCGAGCCGATGAGTAGGTTTTTCCTTCTAAGCTGAGGGTTATTTCTTTTTTTTTTTCATAATTTGATATGTTCTCTGTTAGCTTTCATAAATTAAGAGTTTTAAGACTCTGCTCTTTCCCTGTTAATGTTTGTTTTTAATTGTATGTTATTTTCCCACAAAGGAATGTCGTGTGTCGTCTGTTATTGTCTCCTGTACAGGACCAGAATAAATAACAAGAGCACTTGGTGTCTGTTTTTTCGTCATTTCAGATGAAGTGAATCATTGGCTAGTTATTTAATTCTTTATTATTCCTGTTCTCCTCTCAGGATTAAGGTGTGAAGATATTTTTCACTGGGCATGGACTGCTATATTGGTGTCCTCTCTTTACACCCTGATCAACTACCTAAGTCAAGCATCCTTCCGCCGATTTTTTTAGCATTTGCATGCCTTATACTCGTGGGTGGAATAAAATAATTTAAAAGCGGGGGGGGGGTGTAAAAAAGCAATCTCTTCCTGGCTTTCGTTTCTCTAACTAACTTTCTTTCTTCTGTCTTTCTCCAAAAGAATAACCTGAAGCGACAAACGCATCGTAGGAGTGTTTGGTAATAGACGGTAATCCGTAGTCTTTGTTTTTTTCTAAACCCTTTAATCAATGAGATATCAGAAGAGAGTACACATTAAAAGAACAACAATGGTGACAGGCTTCCTACGTACCGGCTCAACAAAACATCTGTTACGTCTTCAGATTAAGAAAGAGTTCATGCCTTCTGGTCATGTACACAAGGAGACTCTTTTAAAACATGATTAAAAAAAACTCACATCTAGTGCAGGCTATTTACGTGGTGCATCATGTGCTATATGTGATCTCGGGATTGGTACAGCAGTAAACTATAATCAAATACCTCTACGTGTACTTCTGGGTTTTCATGGCTGCTTGGATTTGAGGATTGGCTTATTTACACTCATTTGGTTAAATGAGATCGTTCAGATTTTTGTAAGTTTTGATGCTTTTCAGATTTTCTTTTGTCTGTTTGGGTCTAACAGAGCAATACTGAGCAACAACTGTCTCTCACTGCAGTTTTCTAGTAACTCCTCAGAAGGAGAGTCGACAACTCTTCAACAAAGTCTAACAATGTGGACACACACAAAATGGTACAGACTAATCCAATTCTACAAAATGGTGCGAAATTCAAAACCTGGTAAAAACTGGAGTCTCTTTCCCAACACTCACTGACTTCACCCGTAGTCTTCATACAGACTCTAGTGGTGGGTGTTTACTCACTCAAGCTAAGTGGCACTTATCTAGGACAGTAACGAGTAACTCTCATATGTGGGATGGAGTGAAAAAGAAAGAAAATAGTGAAAGTTGATGATAGGAAAGCTCTCTGTCGAGTACGCGACATGTGCTGCAAACCACTTTCTGAAGGTCAACCACACCTTGTAACCTAAACTGTAGATTCTCAGAATAAACACTAGAAAAAGCATGGAACAGACAGCTCACTGACTCTCTTTCAAAGTACACGCTGTTCGCATTATTATTTTAACTGCTTTATCAAGGAGCCGGTGTCCATGTGGGCAATTTTCAGAGTTACCACAGTTCGTGTGACGGTACAATGAGCTCCAGAGATAAAATGTTCAATCAGTATATATGATCTCTCCTCCTCGAACAAATTGTTTTCAAAGCAACATGGAATAGCAGCCTATGTGTCTCCGCTTCTTTCTAAGTATTGTTGTTGGAGGTGAAATTGATAACAATTAATTTTATACAATTTTTTTATATATTTGAACTAATGTTTATTGCTTTCAAACTTTATTACGTGCACCATAAAGCACAGATGAGTCTTATCTATTATAACATTAATTTTGCCTACATATAGGGTGTCCTGAAATACATTATTAGATCTAGTATACAATATAAGTTTGTATTCTTGTTCCGATCGCTAGGATAGAATTTGATTTACATACTTATTCAATATCATTGTATTTTTAACACACACGCATCTAGCCACACACAACAGAAAGTTGTGTTTTCATATTTTGTTAGGACATCTAATTGCATAATGCTTTCCCTAGCTGAAGTACTTAACCGATATTGATAATCTCACACATACTAACCGATTAACGCTCTGGACACTAAAATCACGATATCCAAACTGCATTTTCCTCGTAGATTTAGCGTTTGGCTACACATCAGCACACAAAATCACGACACTCACAAACCAATTTCAAAACCACATTAGCTATAGCAAAGATTTTCAGAAATGTTTATTTTACTGTTTGATTTTACTTAACTCCTTTCGATTGCTTGCTTCCTCCCCTCTCGATAAGCAGCAGATCAATAGTTACCGAGACTGCATCTAAGATCTGTTCACCTACTGACAAGCTGAAAGCATCTGACTACCTCTACGCCCTTGTATAAGACAGAAAGTGGGTCCTAAGAATCATTTCA